TGAGACTAGAGGACTCCCTTAGACAATCGCCCTGAGAGACTCTTTAAAGCTAAAATTGAAATTATCCCTTGAGGTTACCTTTCAGCTAAATAACAGATTGGTTCATAAAATAAAGAATATCACCCATGAGTAATGAGCTCCTTTTAAAGAATCATCTATATGAGATCAAATGGTCAAAAATGACTCTAAAGCAAAGAGGAGAAGGTAAGGGGGCAGGGAAACTAGAGTACTGGAAATGGTACAACCAGAACGGAATGAATGAGAATGACACATTGTGAAAAATGTAGCCAATATTACTGAATAATTTGTGTGGAAATTGTTAAATGGTAACCTAATTTGCTGTGTAAACATTTACCTTAAACACAATAAAATATTGTTAAAAAAAAAAAAAAGGGGGGGACGAGGGACACCATTTGAGCCTGCCTGGCACCGGGTAGCCAGTCACCATGAAGTTCAACCCCTCCATGACCTTGGACTGCAGCACGAAAATCACACGCCATGTCAGTGCTGTCTCACACATGTACAGGAAGAGCATGTCATCCCCACTCTCCAAGGAGCTGTGGCAGAAGTACAGCATCCACTCCAAGCCCGTCTGTAGGGACGATGAGGTCCAGGTGGTTGGAGGACACTGCAAAGGTCCGCAAATTGTAGGCAGAAGTATGTCACCTACACCGAGAGGTACAGTGTGAGAAGACCGTTGGCTCCACCGTCCACGCAGGCACTCACCTGAGCAAGGTGCGTATCTGGAGGCTAAAATTTACAAAGAGTGGAAACAAATTCTTGAACGCAAAGCCAAATCTCCACAAGTTGGAAAAGAGAAAGGCAAATATATAGAACTTATTGAGAAAATGTAGGAATGAATATAAATTCTGCAACCACGGTTTACCTGTAGATTTTTAGCCCAGCATGTGTTCCTTAAGGAGCCCTGGTGGCACGGTGGTTAAAGCGCTTGGCTGCTAACCAAAAGGTTGGCGTTTTGAACCCACCAGCCGCGCTGCGGGAAAAAGATGTGGCAGTCTGCTTGCATAAAGATTACAGCCTTGGAAACACTATGGCACAGTTCTACTCTGTCCTATAGGGTTGCTAAGAGTTGGAATCGACACTACGGCTATTTTTTTTTTCTGAGTGTGTTCCTTTGTCACTTTTCAAGATGTCCCTGCAAGGTTTTACTTCCTTCTTGTTTTGTTACTGATATGTGGCTCTGTAAATCTACTTTTGCAATTATGATTAATAATTTTATGTGTAAAAATTTAAAATGTTTCCTAAAAAAATGAAAGAGTTCTAACTTCACTCAAGTTTCCATGGGAACACTGAAATTGCCTTAAATGCCTAATTTTCCCTCGGTAGGATTCAGTGTGTAATAATTCATCATGAGTTAATTATTAAAAACCTGTTTGTAAGCATAAGATTCTTACCCCTTATGTTTGAAGCCCTTAATGAATACATTAAGAGAAGTTGCTCTCAAGTTGATTCCAACTCATGGCAACTCCATGTGTGTTGGAGAATGGTGCTCCATAGGGTTGTCAATGCTGATTTTTTTGGAAGTAGATCACCAGACCTTTCTTCTGAGGTGCCTCTGGGTGAACTTGAACCACCAACCTTTCAGTTTGCAACCAAACACATTAACTGTTGCATCACCCAGGGACTCCTCTTAAAGAGTAATCAGTATTTACTACGCAACGATAAAGAACAACGATGAGTCCATGAAACATCTTATAACATGGAGGAATCTGGAAGGCATTATGCTGAGTGAATTTAGTCAGTCGCAAAACGACAAATATTGTATGAGACC